AGAGAGAGAGAGAGAGAGAGAGAGAGAGAGAGAGAGAGAGAGAGAGAGGAAAAGTGTTCAGGATGATTCTTCTACAAGCTAAGCAGTGCCAAAGATTTCTAAACACATCCAAACCACAGACTTGGAATGGACTCAGCCCCCATGGCCCCAGAGGGAGCCGGGTCAACACTTGACATTAGATACCAATCCTCAGAACTGTGGGAGAAGCCACCTGCTACTTAGGCTTCTTTGCCTCAGAGTTCTGAAACTCTCGTGCAGGACCCATAGGCGCCCCTTCTCAGCGGCCCTGGGCTGCTAGACCACTTGACAGAGCAGCATCTTCAAATGCTCACCTTCAGCACCCCCAAGCTTTCCCAAACTGCACGGCCTACAGACAGAGCCCAGTGTCAGAGTCTCCCCCAGCACGAGGACTAGTGTCTGGGGAGGCTTGGAGGCAGAAGGGTGGCGGCCATTTTCACCCGCTAGACCTCTGTAGACCCCTTCTCTAGACCTAAGAGCAGCCCACAGATGTGGATGGCATGACCCAGCACTGCTGACCCTGGCGGGTGCGGGCGCAGGGAGAGGGGAGCGCAGCAGCCTCCTCCCAGGCAGACACAGCACAGAGTCCCACCTTTGCCCCAGAGTGAGCCCCTTCCCACGCCCCAAAGCCACCTCTGAGGGTGGGGGCATTGATAGCCCGGTCCCCGTCCCCCCCCCCCCCCCCCCCGCCCCGTGAGGTCAGCCAGGCCCTTGGAAAGCCTATTTCTCCTCTCCAAAAGTGGTCACAGAATATTCTGGAAAGAAAGGGAGGCTCTTAGGACATGAGTGTGGCCGGAGGTCAAGATCTCAGAGGTGACACAGACGAGGTGTGGCAGAGGGTGGCAGAGGGGCTGTGCTGAGCGAGACAAAGCCTGGGGTGTCCTGCAAGAGTCTACTAGAGTTGACGGACATTCTTCCAGCTAAACTCAGCTGAGATGTCAGCCATGTTAGTGAAGGATGCGGTCTCTAGGGAGCCAGCTCCTCCCGATCCTTATGGGGCCAGTGATCTTCCTTCATACCCCATTCTGTCTTCAGGGAAGTCTGGGAAATGTTTATTTAATTTTGCTTTTTTTATCTTCTACTGAGGCCACTGTGCCATCTCCAACCCTGGGGACAGGTAGAGCCATGGTAGAAGCCCCCTTAAAGAATCCGCTGTGCAAAAATCCCTTTCCAGAGGTGTCTCAGCAGGAGGTGGAGAACCTCATTGCCGTAGACCAGCACATGTCAACCTTCCTCGTGCTGGGACCCTTTAACACAGTTCCTCATGCTGTGGTGACTGCCCCCCCCCCAACCATAAAATTATTTTTGTTACGACTTCATAACTGTAATGGTTGCTGCTGTTATGAATGGCAATGTAAATATCTGGGTTTTCCAATGGTCTAAAGCAAGCCCTGGAGAAGGTCATTCGCCCCGAAGGGGTCATGACCCCCATTTGAAAACCACTGCTCTGGCGTGAGCGAGGTTCCCAGCTCAACTCCCTCAACCCTCATTTACTTTATAAATGCCCACCAGGTCACGAGGTCCTCCATGACTCCCCAGAGTATACCTTGGTGAAGGCAAGTGATACTTAATCCCCTCCCTCAGGGGCCTGCTGACCACATAGGCATGCCAGGGATGATGGAGCGGCCCCCAAGGTTATGTTATACTTCTCAGGGTCCTAGCCCTGTTGTCCATAAAATCTCTATGTCCAGTAGTTGCAGGGTTAATCAGTAAGGTTAATTAATGCCTTGCACACCATGATGAGCCAGTACGGGCTCCATGGCTCTCCCGGTGAAGAGTGAGTGAGCAGGCAGGCCCCAGGAAGGCTGTGTTCTGTCCCGTGGCCTCACACGAACAGCGAGAGGAACACAGCTCCCATATGAGATCTCCACGAACTTCCCAATGCTCTACTGTTTCTGTGACTAAACTTTGTGGTTCATACACACAGCACGAAACACACTCCCAAGTCAAGTGAAACCCTCCTCTAGATAGAAAACAACATGGACCTGGAACAAAAATGGAGAGGCTTTAGAAACAGAATCAGTCTCTGAATTCCCAACCAAGTCAGACAGATTTTAAGAGGGAAAAAAAAAAAGACTCACAAGGTTTGCGATCACAATTCCTTGAGGTCTGGGGTTTCAGGAATACAGGAATTGGCTATGTTGGTTTGGTTTTGGTGGTTCTGGGGGATAGAAGCCAGGGCTCACACATGCTGCGTACCCCTAGCTGCATCTCAACTCCACAAGGCGCTTTTAACAACTTTGTGAACCGCGTGCTTCCTAACGCTTTGGGCCGGCACCCTCGCTACACCGCTCACTCTGTAATTCTGTACCTGACAACATGCCCCACCCTACCGCCCTCCCCTGGTCTGTAAACAAGACCTTCATGCTGGGTGCCTAGGAGCTCATTGTCCACATCCAGAAATGTGCTGCTTCAGGCCCAAACCCCGTCTCAAAATCCGTGTCTCCACCCCACGGACCCTGAGCATCAGTGGCATACTCCCGCTGGGGAAGCCCTCTTTCTGAAAGCATACCCAGGGCTCCGCAGTAGCCTGTTGCTATTGGTACGGACGGTGTGGCAAGCCAAGACAGGATGCCTCTCTCAGAGAAGATGCTTGTGCCCACCAGGGTCCCAGCAGGCACTGCCCTCTTGAGACCCACTCCTAGAAGCCCCCTCTCCAGGGTCACCCCTAGATCCCTCACCTGTGAAGCCACTGGCCTGGCTCAGGTCCACAGTACAGGCCAAAGTCAGCAGGGCGAGCTTCAGGGTCCTGGACATCATCCTGTGGTGACAGCGGTGGTGCAGACAGGGTCTGGGACCTCTGCGGCAGTGACCCGAGTCCCAATCCCAGGCTCAGATGATCCTGAGCTGCCCCGGCCCAGAGAAAGGGCCCTTGTGTGTCCCCTGCACTGCTGTTAGTGGCAGCGACTTCAGAGGAGCACTCGCCGGGAGCAGTCCCTTAGGCCTGCTCATTAACGCCAGCCACTGCCATGGCTGTTTCCCTGGGGGCACCTGCATGTCAGAGCCTATTCTTGTTCAGAGCAGATGGCATCTTCTCGGAAAGGTGAGCAGCTAACAGCCCCGGCCGCATCGCTGGGCCTCATCTTGTTTGTACGTAGAAAACGCATTTCAGACCCAAATCTGACTCCGCACATCCGACACCAAGTATTCCGTTACCCTGCTGCTCCCAGCTGGCAGAAGAAGACAGGCTCACATCAAAGTGTCACATCAGCTCTCGAGAGGAGCCTTCATACCACTCAACAATAGAGCTCAGAGGCCACGGCCACGTTCGTCAGCTCCACGCAGTCCCTCCCTCACCGGGGACTGGAGATACTGTGCTCCGAGAGACATGCTGTGCCCCGCAGGATTCGAAAACGGGAAATTATGAAGTGAACAGCTGGAGGTGAGCAGCCCAGAGCATCCGTGTGCCATGTCACGCAGCAGGTAAAGTGTTCCCCTGAAGACATTTTAGCACCAGCAAGCAAATCTCAGCTGTGAGAGACCAGAACAAGACCTCCCACAATTCCCCTGCACAAAGATGCCGCTGCAAGTGTGCATGGACACAAACGCATCCAGGAATGGAAGCGGAGAGAACTTTCCTGAGGGTTGGTAGAAATACTGGCAATGGTGTTTGTATTCATTGGTCATCATGTTATGCAGGAAATGGACTTTTAAAGTTTCCAGCTGGTCTGGGGATGTGGCTCAGTTGGTAGAGCGCTCGCCTAGGATGCACAAGCACCTGGGTTCAACCCCCAATCCCCAGGACTGCATACAGGTTGGCAGGGCATGTCTGTTACCCCAGGATTTAGAAAGTAAAAGAGAGAGGGACAGAGGTTCTTGTCATTCTGTGATACAATAGGGAATTTGAGGCTAGCCTGGGCTACATAAGAACCTATCAGAGGGACACACACACACACACACACACACACACACACACACACACGCACACGCACGCACGCACGCACGCACGCACACACACAAATATACACATATACACATGCACACACACATAACTATACACATGTATACATCTAAATATACAAATTTACATACAAATAAACACACACATATACATACATAAATATATACTTGTACACTCAAATACATACATGTACACACACACACACATAAATATATCCAGGGTGTCTGTGACCACGATGGCCAGCTGAGTGACGATCCACGGAAGGGAAGAAGGTAGTTTGGTTCAACATGACTAAGTAGCTGGTGTTGGTTCAAACTTCAGAAGTCTGACCCCGAGTGGTTTATTTTAGGCATGTTGAAGCACAGCGCAATTTGGTGAAAACTTTCCTGGTGACAACTCAATCCCGTGTCCACAATAAAGCCTACAATAAAGAACAAAGCAAGCTAGATAAAGATCGGACATGACCACACTGAAACTCTTTGTAAAGTACATGCACTAACATTCCATAAGGACGGGCTCTATAGACGGAGAAAAACAAGGTTATGATAAGCGTCTGGGGGAGGATCCTGTGCGGTCTTGGCCACACAGAGAGTTCAAAGTTCACCTGGTTATTAATCCCACGTGCTCCCAGACTTCTGGGTGGATAACAGTTTTTTCATCCCTTTCTTTAAAGGCACCACCTTGTGTGTTGAACGTTCCAGTTTCCCTCAGGGCTTATCTGTGAACACAAGAACCTCCGTGCCTCCTACATTTCCCCCACTTTTATTTTTTAAAGAGAAAATTGTGGCTGTAATAGAGCCAATGTTGAACGCATTGCCTGCATGGCTAGTCTAACTAATACAGGCAAGCAGAACATAATTGTAAGAGTAGCTAACAAAGGGCCAAGGAAAGGGAAAAGCCATGTTAACCATGACCTCTGACAGCCAAAGGTGACTTAAGAGATTCTCTTTACCTCTCTATGCAAATCATTCATTTGACCATGGATCATATGAGAAAAATCTGACCTGTTAAGGCAACGCAGGCCAGGAAACTGTTGACAACCAAGATTATGGTTGGGCAACAAACCATCTGCAGCCGCTCTGTTCTGTAAACTGTGGTTCTCAAATCACCCATCTCTTGGTTGATTTCTGCTAATGCTTTTGCTGTAATATTAGTAGTTTTACTAACCATGCAAGGCCATCTTTGAAACCCTTCTTGTAGTTCAGTAACCATTCCTGGGACTGGTAATAAAAAGCATAAAAACAATCTTTAGCATACCACAGCAACATCATAGAGTCTTCTATTACAGGCGTGCCGTTTACCACCTCAGACAAAAGGAATTTGGATTCTGCATTGGGAAGCTAAGAACTGACATGTAATATAGTCAGTAAACATAGCAGCAGCATTTGGGGGCCAGTAGTATTGTGTCCTTGTTGTCTCCCCAAGTCACCAGCGTCTTCTTTTCTTGGGATGTCTCCTTTTGATGGACGGGTTTATTATCTATCTTCAGGTGCTTCATTTGTGGTCTCTGGCATGCTGTCCTGGTTGGATTCATTAGATCAGGAGCGGTCTCAGACTTCTTAATTCATTTTCTGGAAAGACATAAGTATATCTTCACCCTGGTGTTAGAAGAACATCTGGCCCTTGTTGCCCGAATCCTAAATGGCCTTATAATAAAAACCCGGAGCCAGATATTGGAGTAAATTCTGAAAGATCAGAGAGACAAAGGAACAAGCCACAGCCACTTCTCACCTCGCCAACTCCTCAGCTGATCCCGTCTCCACGAATTCTCAGACTGAATGCTTCTGAGTCCTCAGCAGAAAGGGTTGGCTCCTCCCACCTTATATGCCTTTCTCCACCCAGCCATTTCACTTCTATCTCAACCTTCCCAGTGCTGGGATTAATGGCGAGTGTGCTTCCCAAATACTGGTAGCAAAGGCATGAGATCTCGAGTGCTGGGATTAAAGGTGTGTGCCACCACTGCCTGGCTCTGTTTCTTTTAGACTGAATTGATCTTGTGTAGTCTAAGGTGGCCTTGAACTCACAGAGATCCAGATGGATCTCTACCTTTGTCTCCAAAGTGCTAGGATTAAAGGTGTGTGCCACCACTGCCTGACCTCTGTAACTAAATCTGTGGCTAGCTCTGTCCTCTGATCCTCAGGCAAGCTTTATTAGAATACAACAAAATATCACCATGGGCCCTTCCCACCAATTAGTTTCTAGATCTTTCCATTTAATATATACTTTATGCTGTGTCTCCTTTAGGGTAAAATGTTTTGGGGAAGCAGAAGAAGCATTATCCTTTACAGTGAAAAAAAGCAAAGTTAGCATGGCTAAGTGTATATACTCCTAATAGATATATTGTATACCATATGTATACTATTAAATACTGTATATATCAATAATAAATACTGTATGTGTATAGTATATATAAAATAATGCATACTGTATACATTATTAAATATTGTATATGTATATTTAAAGTTGTCATTTAAGTATTTTGCATTGTCATTTCACAATAGTTTGATCCTGTGTGTTTTAAGGGGTTCCAGTAATATTAATATCCCATAAATTGCAAAATTCCTTGAAGTGTTTACTACTATAAGCAGGACCATTATTGGTTTTCAGTTGTAATGGGAATCCTAGAAAGGAGAAGGTGTATAATAAATGATTAATGGAAGCTGAGGTTGTTTCACCCTTGTGAGCAGAAGCAACGATCATGTTAGAAAAAGTATTAACCATTACATGAACATACTTTAAACGTCCAAATTCTGAGGTGTTCAAAATCTAATGCCAAATGGTAACCTGCGAGGATTAATTCTGCCAGTAGAGGGCAGTGGTGTAAAGAAGAACAAGAAGGTGAAGCGTTCATCTGATTTTTATTTTTTATTTTTTATTTTTTTTAAGCAGCCTGAAAAGGAAGTATTAAGGGCAAGGCACATAGGCTTGAGCATTAGCAGATGTTAAGGGACCTGGCAAATTAGAATCAGCAGGAATATGAGTTTTGAAGAAAGGATGTCATTGTCATATAGACATCTGAAGGAAGAGAAAAATCGTGAAATAAGTAGTGGGCTTAGGTTTAAATCTTGCAGTTTCTAAAAGAGAAACAATTTGATCACAATATGCAGAGTCAGTTAAAATATTCAATGGTTGAGAAACATCCAATAAAAGCTGATTGATTACAGCGAGTTCAGACTGCTGAGCTGTACAACCAAGGACGGATATGATCTTCTTTGTGGAGGATGTGGAATTTGTATATAAGATGTTAAGCTCCTTGTCCTTTTGAAGATCCACCTGTAAAAGAATTAAAAGCAATCCCTATCCAGAATTATTAGGTGTGATTTTGGTAATATCCATGGGGTATCTTTATAAAACCTTGAAAGGGGATCTGTAGGGTAATGATTATCCATCCATCCAGAGTGACATGCTAATGCTACCTGCCAAGTATTAGCCGTGTGGAACACACAACTAACCTGCATTTAATTTAATGGCACACTGATCCCTGTCGGATCTTTCCCAGTAAGTTAAGACGTGTCCTTCCCATCCTTATCAACTCTATAATTTCTTGTACATAGGAGTTACAGATCATTGCGGAGAATTAGGACATTAATTAAAATCTATAATGTCAATACCTTGTTGGTATACAATTCCAGTTGGTGATGAGGAGGAAAGAAAGATAAATAATTGATAAGGGAGTAAGGGATTAATTCTATGAGCCACGGCTTTAGTAGCAGCAGGTGTTATGATTCTTATAGTTTAACCAGGAATCTCCAGAAAGCAGCTTAAAGGGCGGAGCCAAGTCCTTAATAGTGACAGATGTTTAAGACATTCCCAAGTGACATGACTCCCAAATTTTCGTAAGTAATTGAAGGTACATTGTTTGGGAGGTTTTAAGTGGAGAAGATGATGGTGAATTTGAAATTTGGTGAAAACTTCCCTGGCGATAATTAACTCAGTCCCGTGTGTGCAATAAGGCACACATACATCTCCTCAAGGTACAAAGTAAGCTAAATAAAGATTGGATGTGATAGCATCAAAACTCTTTGTGAAGTACATGGGACATGTTCCATGAAGATGGGCTCTATAGAGTGACTAAGGAAAGCTTACCATAAGGGTTTGGGGAGGGTCTATCCAGTGAGGTCTTCCCCACACAGACAGTGCAAAGGTCACCAAGATATTAATCCCATCTGCTCCCAGCCTGGATGGATAACAGGTTATGCATCCCTTCCTTTGAAGGAGCAACCCTGGTGTTTAACATGACATGTTACCTTAGTGCTTCTCCATGAGCACAAAGACCTTCATGCCTCATACAAATATACACATGCACACACATAAATATACTCATTGATGTACATACATAGACACACATGAATATATATACATGCACATATATACATAAACACACACATGTACACAAACATAAACACACACATAAATATACACATGTACATATAAACATTACACACATGTACACACATAAACACACACAACCATACACTTGCACACATATATAAATATAACATATACATACACATGTATTTACACATAAGACATTATTATTCCATGAACCTGTGACATGGCAGGGACCCTCATTTCTCCTCAGCCCTCTAGAGATGTTCTGCACCCGCAGTCCAAGCACCCCCTTCCCGGCCTCATCCTCCCGCCTCCCAGAAGCTTCCAGTACCTCAATTCTTCACATCTTCTGTTTACCTGGAGCCAACCAGCCTTCTGCTGTCCTTACTGCCCTATCTTGTCACCTGAAGCCGCTGCACATTGCTTTAGTGACACCCCAGTCAATGACCTTGTCTGCTCACTCTCTTACTGGTGCCCACTGGGCAAAACTCCTATGTGCATGGAGCCATCTTTCTGCTTCCATGGAACCCTGCTGGAGAAAGTCACATGACCTGCAGAGTAAGTACTCAGTATCTCACTAGCCTATGTATTCTGGTGTCCATCCTACTTCCTGAAAGACTGTTTCTGTCTGAATTCTGCTCCTACCTGGTGCCATACTGGCCTCGCCCATTTCTAGGGGACACTTGTGTCTGATGTTCCCAGTCCTGTGGTCTCCTGGGTCTGTCCCCACCCTCCACTTCTGTTCCTGGGACAGTGGAGATGCCTCTCCCTACCTAGGGACGGCTCTGTTCAGACCTGGACTCTCACACCCCTCACCCTGTTTCCCTGGGAGCGTCTACATGATTGTATCTCTGCTCTCTTGCGTGATCATCTCACTCTCTTTGTTTGTTTTGTTTTGGAGCCAGAATCTCATTGTGTAGCCCAGGCTGGCCCGGAACTAGCCCAGATTTGTTTTAAATTGATGATTATTCTGCCGTAGTCTCCCAAAGACTGGGATTCCAGATGTGTACCATCACATATATATAGCCCAATCTTACTTTTTTGTTTGTTTTTGTTTTTTGGCTTGTTTGTTTGTTTGTTTGGTTTTTTGAGACAGGGTTTCTCTGTGTAGCTTTGCACCTTTCCTGGAACTCGCTTTGGAGACCAGGCTGGCCTCGAACTCACAGAGATCTGCCTGCCTCTGCCTTCCTAGTGCTGAGATTAAAGGCATGCGCCACCACCTCCCTGCCCAGTCTTACTTTTTAACTGATCTTCTCATCAGCCATTGGCATTTAGGCATGCTTAAGTCTTCCAGTTACCATAGGGAAGGAAGGGATGGAGGGAGCGAGGGAAGAGAGAAAAACTCTTCCTTGTCACTTCATAAATTCCAGCTAGCTAGTCCTTTCCTTTCAAAGGCCACATATCTACTGCCTGCATTTCCTCGCGCCCCCCGCCCCACCCTCCTCATTCCTTTACCGCCTTCTATCTAAGGAGAGGAAAAATTCACAGAGATGCAAGTTATATATAAAGCACACTGATCTCAAATGCACAGTTCAGTTTTACACGTTCACACATTTATACACCCTACCCTGATCAAGGTAGGTAGCATTTTCAGGAACACAACATACTCGATAGTCCATAACTTGGTATTGCCACTGGGTAATGCTCCTGGCAGACAATGATGTATCAGTGATTTTTTTTGTTTGTTTTAAGGTTTATTTTAGTTTTAGTTGTGCATGTCTGTGTGTGGGGTATGTGCCAGTGTGAGTGCAGGTGCCTGTGGAGTCTAGAAGAATGTGTGGGCTCCCCTGGGGCAGATGAGGGTGCTCGGAACTGAACTCGGGTCATCAGCAAGAGCAATGTCTACTCTCAACTGCTGAGCCATCCCTCTGGGCCTCTCTCTCCACAGCAGTGTTTCTGAGAGCAGCTTCATTTCTGTTAATCCGCACAGTGAGCAGCTGTGTGTCGTTCATGGAGTTAATTAATTTACTCTCTTGCTCGTACACACAGCGCGCTGGTGAATAGTTTTGTACCGGGGTCGTTTGTGTTTCTGTCTTGTGTATTTGTATATACTCTCTCTTTTTCTTTTGTACTGGGAACGGAACCTAGGGCCTCATGCAGGCTGGACGCGTAGACAGGGAGCCATCACTGGGCAACAGCCTTGACCCTCAGCTCAGAGTATTAAAAGTGGCCAAAGACTAAGCGTATTTGTCAACTGGGTGCTAATACCACCTGATTTCTCCTGAGCGAGGCTGTGCCACTTTGTATTTCCACCGTCACTATTGAGAGTAACTTGCTCCTCATGGACTTGCTAAGAACATAGGCTGATAAGCTTAATTTTATATATATGCCTTTCTTTATATTTTTGAAGCCCCACAGGAATGTAATTGACATGCCATAATATACCATCACAACTTAATGAATTTTGCCAAATGCATATAACCCTGAAGTTATTATTTACAGTCAAATAGATACATCCATCTAGCCCCAGAGTTCTCCATGCTTCTTTGGCGTCTGTCCTTCCCTCCACACCCCATCCTCAAGCTGGGAGTTCTCAGAACTTTTACTGCTTCTACACTCTTGTTCCAAGGTTTCAGGGGACACCTATCATCCTAGAGTAAACTAAAAAACAAGGAAAAGAGAATTGCGAAAGCGAGGGGAAAGGGAAGGGTAGCCTTGGTGTGAAAGTGAGGAGATTTCCCAGCCATTAACCTGCTACAAGCTAGGCTGGTGGCCTCAGCGTAGAGAGCAAGGCTGAAATCAGCACGAAGATGAATTCTAACTGGAGGGCAGGAGATATGGCTCAGCAATTGAGAGTATACGCTGTTCTTCCAGAGGACCTGGGTTCTATTCCCAGCACCCGCCTCAGGAGGCTCCCAACTGTCTGTAACTCCAGCTCCAAGAGATCCCATGTTCGTTTCTGGCCTCTGTCATGGACAGTCACATGCACACACCCTACCACACAGACACACAGCTATCTACATAATTAAAAATAAAATAAATCTTGAAACAACAGCAATAAAGTTTTGACTGGACATTCAGAAACTCCAGCAGAAATCTGATGGCTGAAAACCAATGAATAACCAACACAAAGGGATAACTAGTAAAGAAAGGGGGACGGGATGGTAACAGGACAGATGTTTCCGCTGCAAATCATGCTCATACTGTTACTGCCAACATTTAAAATGGTGTAGACTTTCTCAGAAGGGAGGCAGGGTGGGAGGACAGTGCACGGGGTAGAGGTGAAGGGGGCTAGGTTTTTTATTTACTTTTTGTCCTGATCGCAGGGTTTGAACCTAGAACCCCTTGTGTGCTAGGCAAGCACTTCAAACATTTAACCAGCTACAGTATACCGCCAGCTCTCTTTTTACCTTTTTGTAAGAAGTCTTACCAAGCTGCCAAGACTGGTCATGAACTTCACTCTCTAGCCCAAGTGAGCCTTGACCACACTGTGATCCACATGCCTTGGCCTCTGGAGTAGCCGGGATTACAGATTCTCATCTTCCATAGGGCCAGCTGAAGGATCCCATAGCCAGAAGATCAAGGAGGAGCTGGGGAAGCAGGTTCTCTCTTCATTTCTATGTAGCCAAGATGTATTGATTGAACAACAGACCTCACGCCATCTCTCTGAACTGCCCATGACCGAGCTTGGCTATGGCGCTGCCGGGCCCAGCTTCGTAACTGTGGGTCATAATCCCATATGAGTCACACAAATGAGGCAACAGTGAGCATTTCTGAGTGCACTTAGTACTATGAACTTGCCTCTTTGAACTGTCCCATCAGTTTGGGTGTGTTGTATTTTCATTTTCATTCAATATTAGGAAGTTTTTCATTTCTTTCTTAATTTCTGTCTTGATCCATTTTTCATTCCATTGCCCGTTGTTCAGTTTCCATGCATTTGGAAGTTCTCTTGTCTCTGTTGTTGATATCCACCTTTAACCCATGGTGGTCCAGATAGGATGCAGGGTTATAGCAGGCTTTCTTGGCCTGCCAGCCCCCCAAATCATGACGCAGAGACTTCTTATTAGTTAGGAATGCTCAGCCTTATCTTATGTGTGTCCCACTAGCTCTTATAACTTAATTTAGCCTGTTGCTCTTCCTCTATGTTTTGCCTCAGGGCTTTTTACCTTTCATTCTGTATTCTGTATATCTGGCTGGCTGGTGGCTGCCTGGCTGCCTGGCCCCGGGGGTCTTCCTCTCTTGCTCCCTGTTCTCTCTTCTCTTGAGCCTAGATTCCTCCTACTTATTCTCTCTGCCTGTCAGCTCCACCTATCCCTCTACTGCCTAGCTATTGGCCGTTCAGCTCTTTATTAGACCAATCAGGTACCTTAAGCAAGCAAGGCAACCAACACATCTTTATATCATTAAACAAATGCAGCATAAACAAATGTAACACATTTTTCATCATATATATCATATATTCTGCAACACAAGGTGTTATTTCAATTTTCTTCTAGCTGTTGAGACTTGCTTTATGTCCAAGTATGTGGTCAATTTTAGAGAAAGTTCCATGAGGTGCAGAGAAGAAGGTATATTCTTTTGCAGCTGAGTGAAATGTTGTGTAAATATCTGTTTTATGACATCAGTTAACTCCATCATTTCTCTGTTTAGTTTTTGTCTGGATGACCTGTCTGTTGGTGAGAGTGGAGTATTGAAGCCACCCACTACCGCTGTATGAGGGCCAATGTGTGACTTAAGCTGCAGTAATGTTGCTTTTATGAACTTGGGTGTCCTTACATCTAGTGTATGTTAAGAATTGCAATATCCTCTTTGTGGATTTTTCCTTTGATGAGTATGTAGTATCCTTCTCTACCCATTTGAATTAGATTTGAAGTCTCTATGTCAGATATTAAAATTGCCATGCCAGCTTGTTTCTTAGGTTCATTTTCTTGGAATACTTTTTCCCTTCTTTTTAGCCTGAGATGATATCTATCCTTGACGTTAAGGTGTGTTTCTTGGATGCAGCAGATTACATTCTGTTTTCACATCCATTCTGCAAGTCTGTGTCTTTTTAATGGAGAATTGAGACCACTGATGTTGAGAATTACCAATGTGTATTGATTCCTATTATTTTGTTGTAATATGCATGGTCCTCCTTTATGATTTACTGGCCCAATATTATATATATAAAATGGCTTCTTGGGTGTGGTTGAAACCTTGAGGTTGAAGCTTTGCTTCTAGCACATTTGTAGGGCTGGATTTGTAGACAGATACTGCCTGAATTTGGTTTTATCATGTAATGCTTTTCTTTCTCCATCTATTGTAAGTTTTGCTGAGTATAGTAATCTGGGCTGGCATCTGTGTTCTCTTCAGAGTTTATAGAGCATCTATAAGGCCCTTCTGGCTTTTAGAGTCTCCATTGAAAAGTCGACTGCTCTTCTAATAGGTCTGCCTTTCTATGTTATTTGGTCTTTTTCCCATTTAATATTTGTTCTTTGTTCTGTACGTTTAGTGTTTTGGTCATAATTGCTGCGGGGAATTTCTCTTTGTGGTCCAGTCTATTTGGTATTCTGTGTGCTACTTGTACCTTGATAGGCACCTCCTTCTTTAGATGAAGGACATTTTCTTCTATGATTTTGTTGAACATATTTTCTGTGCCTTTGACCTGGGTTTCTTCTCCTTCCTCTCTTCCTATTATTCATAGATTTGGTCATTTCATAATGTCCCAGATTTCCTGGATGTTTTGTGTCTGGATTTTTTTTTAGATTTAATATTTTCTTTGACGTAGGTATCTATTTCTTCTACTGTGTCGGCAATGCCTGAGATTCTCTCTTCTGCCTCTTGTATTATGTTGCTGAGGCTTGCCTCTGAGGCTCCTGCTCATGAAGTCTATTTTGAAATCCTTGTCTTGTGCTTTAGCTACCTTGCATTTCTCAGGGCCTGCTGTGGTAGGATTGCTGGGCTCTAGTGGAGACATATTGTCCTGGCTGTTACTGATTCTGTTTTTACACTGGCATCTAGGCATCTGAGTGTGGGATGATTGCAATTCTAGGCGCTGATATCTGGTCTTGTCTTTGTTGGGTGGGTTCCATTCATTGATGTCTGTTGCCCTCTCTGGTTCTTTGGTGAGTGTGGTGGCTGTGGGTTGCCTGGTAGGGAATGCTCCTGAGATCTTGCCAGGTGTGGCCATTGTGGTTTCTAGGTAGAATGTATTTCTAGGTATTGGGAACTGACATTTAGGAATGGAGATGGGCTAAAAGGAGGGAGCTGAGGGGGTCACAGGAGGGAGGAGAGCAGGGGGTGCACCAGGATCTGCATAGTCTCCTGGGAATGGGGGCATAGAGGAAGAGGAGGCCACAGCAGGTAGTCTGTTTCAGAGCTGGGAATGAGACTGGGGGATTGGATTTGGAGAAGAGGAGAGTGAAGATAGCTTACCTTCTCCCCTGGCCAGTGTGGCCAGCGGATTCCCTGAAAACCCCTTGGACTGTTTTCCTGTCTCAAGAGAATGGCATTGCCATGCCATCAGGAGTCAAAGAAACTTCAGTATCTCCTTTACTCTGTGGGTTTTATTTGTTTTGTTGAGGCCAGGTTTCACTTTAGTCCATACTGGATAATCCTCTTCCTTTAGCCTCCCAAGTGCCTGATTGCAGATGCCAGACATCACCCCTGGTTTTCTGTTTTGATTTTGTGTCTTTTTTTTTTCTGGAGCTTTATTTTACTTTATCAATGTTTCAACTGGATGTCTGTGTATGCACCACATGCATGCCTGTTGGATCTCCTGGAACTCAAGTTATGGATGGTTATGAGCCACCACGCACGTGCTGGGACCCAAACTCCAGTCTGGTCTTAACTGCTGAGCCAGTTCACCAGTCCATTCTTTCCTTTTTCTATTTATGTATTTTGTCCTATGTACGTTGTGGAGGCCCACAAAGATTTCCTAGTGAGATCTGAGCTTGCTTTACCCAGCAGAGCTGCATGAGAGGATTGCTTGACCACGTGCATGATTACCAGGTGTTTGGAAGGGTCTGCACTTGGATGTGCGATACGCTTTGATCTAGCAAGGAGAAGTCTTTTGCCCTGACCCTTGGCATTCCTTTAAAAAGCCCTTTAGAAGAGACAGAAGGGGGCAGTGGATAAGAATCCAGGCCCTCTCGAGCTATCCTGTGTTTCTATCTGTCTCTCCCTGCTCTATCCTTCAATCTAAATATTTCTCACTTCTCCCTCTTTACCCTGGGGTAAAAGTGGGAGTGAGTCTCCCATACTACATCTGTCTTGTTAGGGTTTCTATTGCTCTGAAGAGACACCATGACCGCAGCAACTCTTATTTAAAAAAAAAAAACAAACATTTAATTGGGGTGGCTTACAGTTTCAGAGGTTTAGTCCATTATCGTCATGGTGGGAAGCATGGCCGCATGCAGGCAGACGTGGTGCTGGAGAAGGAGCTGAGAGTTCTACATCTTGGTCAGCAGGCAGCAGTCCTGGTTTGAGCTTCTGAGATCTCAAAACCCACCCCCTACTGATGCACTTCCTACAACAAAGCCACACCTACTCCAACAAGTCCATACTTCCTAATAGTGCCACTCCCTATGGACTTACGGGAATCATTTTTATTCCAACTGCCACAACATCCAATATATCTTTGAAGTCCTTTCAATTTTACTTTTAAAATAGTGTTGTTTTTTTTTAATAGTTTTTTGTTTTGTTTTGTTTTGTTTTGTTACCTTCAGACAAGGAAGTTCTAGGCTGGCCTGCAATATATAGTGAGGTCCTTAACAACAAAAGTTGAAGTATTTTTGTGGTTTCTAACCAGGTGTCTTATTTACTGTTCAAATTTACAATTAACCCTATCTGTTTCCTGCCAATCATCCCATCAGCAGAGCAGAAATAATTATACTCTAGATATATCATAGCGCTCAAGAAAGCTCTCAGAATCACACTGCTTACCCACATCCTCTTTATTTAAGAAAATATTTTCCAAAGCAATGTGCCTGTTACCATTCTTTTAGATTTTTATCACAATTTATTTATTATGTGCGTATGTGTAAGTGTGTTGTGTTGTGTGTGTGGGGGGGGACATGCATGCCACCTCATGCATGTGGAGGCCAGAAGACAACTTTGGGAGTCAGTTCTCTCCACCACGTGGGACCCAGGATCAAACTCGGGTCATCTGGCTTGGAGGCAAGGGCTTTTACCTGCTGAGCCAGCTCACTGGTCCTGATTCTTGACGTGATTTTCCCCAAAGCCAGAGAGAGGCTCAGGCTGCAGACTACAGCCTGGGGACATGGCCATGTTGGGAGAGGTTTCTCACCTGGACCCCTTTTCTCAAGGAAACTCACTTGAGCTACAGAAAAAGATCGAGGGGGGGGACCCACCTCACCATGTTAGAGTTGATGCTAATTTGCTTTCTGTTGAATATTTAACACGCCATTTGCATAGCTGTCTTAGCAAAATCAATCCCCGTGTTTTATTATTTGAGGATTAAAAAAAAAAAAAAAAGTTTGCCTCCTAGGAGCCAAAAGGAGAGTCAGCCCTGTAGATTAGAATCAATTCAGCAGATGGAAAATAAAGCTTTGAAACATATTCTGCCTTCCCTGAGCACGTCGCAGGCATTAGTGATAATGGGAGCCCTGTCTGTGCATGGAGGGGCTGCATCTGCCAGATTCCCAACCAGCCCCACCCCCGGGTTGTGCAGCCCTGTGACCTTCACGGTGGAGGAGGGCTGAATCTGGCTCCCGCATCTCCTCCCCTTGGGCTGGAATGCATAGGACAAACACCGGCACACATAGTGTTCCTTCCCTTGAATTGCTGAAACACAGCCAGCTCAGGCATGAATGAAAACTGACTCTATCTGTCCTTTGGAGCTCTGGACCACCTAGTGGTTCAGTTTGTTAGAGCGCTCCGTAATTCAGGGGGCACTAGAGAGGCAAAGATGAAGTTCAGGTCACTATTCGGTTTCATTCAGTCGCCTTGTGTGCCCATCAGCACATTTCAAAACAAGAGCTTCGTGAATCTGAAAATGTTTAAGACAAGCCATGGGGAAGGCCATGGCTGCTCTCTCAAAGACTGCCAGTCCTGCAGCACCCCGGTGCTCAGATGTGTTCTATCTCTTTGTTTTTGCGGACTTCATCTTTTACTATTTGTGTCTATGTGGATGTGGGTTTGTGGGAGTTGGTTGTATGCCACGTGGGTGCGGGTTCCAGTGGAGGCCAAAAGAGGGTGTCAGGTAGCCTGGAGCTGAAGTTACAGGGGACTGTGAGCCTTCTGATGTGGGTGCTGGGGACCAAACTCTGGTCCTTTCCAAGAGCAGTTCACATTCTTAACCACTGAACCATCTCTCCACCCCTTCGTCCCTTAATTTTAAGACGAGAATGAGATACCAAAGCAATTCCTTTTTGCCAGGGGTGACACCTTTGCCGTGTGATGCGTCCACCTCTGCTGTTCCATTTCTTCAATATAAATTCCAGGTCACATGAGGACTTGCACTTGGCACATCTTGAGTGACCATTTATGCTCTCACCTGGCCTGCCAGAGGACCAGCCACACCGGCCAGCTAGTGCTGTGACCCCGGCAAACCTTCCTGCAAGCCTCCCTCCTCCCTTCTGTAGATCCACGTCAGGAGGAATTGTCAGGATCTTTCCTGCACACAGAGTGTCCCAGAACCCCATTAATGTTGTCTTGAGCGCTGGGCCGATTGCAATCACGCCTGCCTTCCAGAAAGTCGTTTGAAAGAGAAGGCAATGTAAGTGGTTTGTAACGTTCCGTGATTTAGCTGTTCGGAGACTGGAGTGAGTGGTCTAGAAGAGTCTTTGAGATTTCAGTGCCTACCGTGTTCCCAGGAGCTGGCCAGAGTGCTGAAGTCAGCAGCCACTGACGACAACGTGAGCCCACCGGCTGGGTAACTCCCACAAAGCCACCGCTTATGTGCCCTATAGGCCAGCAGGAGCAGCCCCCGGACAGGAGCAGGGGCAGCCAGAGAGTTCTCAGCAACGCTAGGCTTAGACTTATGTCGTGAGGCATGTAAACAGCTAGTGGAATTTCAGAGTACATAGCATCAGATAATTCCCAGACCTAGGGGAGCTATATTTAGCTTAGGCAAGTTTGGAAAGAGCTCAGAGGGGGTGGTGTGCCATTCAAACAAACATTAATAGTACGGGGACTTGGAGAAGGGCGAACCTTTCTTCAGTTCAGGAATCTGGGAAGGAAAACCTGCATTCAAATCTTGGGATATGGGGTGTGGAGAAGCCGGGGATCCAGAGTTCCAGAGGGGAAGGAACTCCACATAAAAGCTCCTAGTGAGTTACCTAGGCTTGTTCCTCATCTCTCCCCTGGAAAATTTATTCCAGGCAGATTAAATCTGTCTTTTCCTTTCGCTTGTGTGCAATGAATGATTCTCAAAAGGTCCCAGTTTATCCCATGCTTATCTTTCCACTGTTCCCACAGGAGAAACAAGGAAGGTGCCCAATGAGAAGCCTGCCCTGGTTCTCAGGGAGCAGAGGACCCTGGGCCTACTTCCCCCACTGGACTCCTTTGTCTTGGTTAAGGGGGCAGCTGGGTGACGTGGCTCCTTTCTCTAGCCTGAGTTTCCACTTCCCTATTAACACAGACACAACACTCGGGTGAAGCAGAAGGAGAAGAAAATTTCTGCTTGGTGTGTTTTATGGCCCGTTATTATCTCCCTTACATGTCCCATGCCTCTCCGAGGGGCACAGGAGAATGTGTCTAGTGAAAGCATTGGGGAGGGTCCCCCACTTTCCGCAGGATGAAGGAGAGATCAGCCTCATGAGAGAATCCATCTGAAGCCACCTCCACCCCAACTTCAAAGGAGGCCTGGGCTACTAGGATTCTTCCCAGCCCTGGAACCTTCCTTGGCCTCTGTGAACTCATTGTCTACTTTCCCAGGGAGGCTGTCCTTGGATTTGGGTCTCTGCAGAGCTGTCCCTTCATGGCTTTCTCATGGTGGCTGAGGGCAGGAGTGATAGATAGTCTCCCATCCTGTCCTGTGGCTCGGGGTAGGAGTGATAGATTGTCCCCATGCTGCCCTATCTCTACTCATCATGTGTGGGAGGAGTCTGGGGGGATAAAATCAATCACTTCCCCCACTCCCCTCAAACGTAACAACAGCCACAATTTAGTTCTTCCATTGGGTGGGAGAAATCAGAATTATATGTTTGTATAGACATAGCAGCCACTGCAATAAAGGAAAAAGGATGAAGTGTGTGTGTGTGTGTGTGTGTGTGTGTGTGTGTGTGTGTGTGTGTGTGTGTTCAAAGTGGGAGGATTTCAAAGGCAGGGAGCCCACCACCATGGTAGCATCAGGAGCATCAGAGGATGTACCCCCAACTCCCATGCAAGACATGGAATCTGGTCACAGACAAGGTGGAGGTATGGAGGCCATGGATCCCTTTCTCCTCTAGATTCGCGTCATCAGTGCCCCTAGGGGGACATTCCTGAAGTGTCTCCAGATGAGCCTTAGAGGGCATTTGAGCTTCTTTACACCAGGCCTGGGCTCCTCACGGTAGGACTTGACCTAGTACCCTAGGCACAGCAGAAGCTGAGAGAGAGCCGAGTGACTTAAAAGGCTGAGTGAGAAGTGGGCGCCAGCAACGGTGACCTCTGAGCATCCCCTTGGGACTTATCCCCAGCACCACACGCAGCCACTTCCAGAAAGAGCTGCGGGTCGTAGCTCCAACAACCCCCCCTCCCCACAAGGAAAGACAGGATGGTGAGATGAACGGGCAGATGAGGGAGCGCCAGCAGCCCAGACGCACAGAGAAGGCCTCTCTTCTTTCATGAGGAGGATGACGCAGGTAGCAAGCCCAGGCAGGCACAGAGCACAGCCGCTCACCTTGCCAAGCTCTGCGCTGGCTGAGGTCAGAATGGCGGGTCTCTCGCGGAACTGCCCCCTCTCACAAGCCCCAATCCCACTAATCAACAGTTGCCCTTGAGTAGGAGTCCGGGGTTGATTTGCTGTTCTGTTCCGGGGGAACCCCAAGGGCCCTGTGGTTCTAACAGGAAGGAGTCCTCCTCATTTTAGCAGCAATCATTTCTTCCTCTCTTCCTGCCACGGTGATTAAATTAGCAGGCTGTTCTCCTTGGAGGACATGTGTCTACGGTCCCGGGAGGCACTGTCCACTTGCCCGTCTGATAGGTTTGGAGAAGGAAAGCTAAGGGTGTGGGTGTGCCTATGTCCTTCCCCGTCCCTGTCCCTGGGAGGGTCAGTCCCACCTGGGATGGCCACCTAGCCAGCGGCAAGGACCACAGGGAGGGGGGCAGCGCTGGGGCTCAGCTGCAGGAAGCCTGGCAGGTAGCTGCGTACACGCTGCTGCCCACGGTGGCCCCGCTGCTTACACTGCTGGTAGGACACTTGAGGGGCTTCATGCTGCTGTCCCTCTGGATGTTCCAGTGCTCCAGCCTCCAGCGCTCCCAGCTCTTCCGAAACTCCATCTGGACCTTCCGTGGGAAAGAAAGGAAAAAAAAAAAGAGAGAGAGAGAGGGAAGCGAGAGCCATCAGGCAAAGCAACTGCCCACAAAATGGCCCTGTTATTACATTAGCAGGGAAGGGAAAAAATCCGCTGGATTATATTAAGAGACACAAGTCAAGGTCTTCAGGCGCCTAAATTAATATCCCAATAAAATTGTTTATTGTTGTCTCCTATTCTCTGCCTCTCCTCGGGAGAGAGATGGGCTTGATGACCTAATTGTCCCTTTTCCATCTCTAGACTCGGTGATTCAGCTAAGTACCTTCTACAATCCATCACAGTATTGTTTAACAGAAGAGAGTGAGAGCGAGGGAGAGATGCAGGGAGGGAGAGAGAATGGGGAGAAGATGGAGCCTCACTTTATAAAGTGCTCTCACAGTGTGGCTTAGACAGTGGAGAGGAGGAGGAGGCATGTCTGCCCCTAACCCCGGTGACACCCGTGTGGCAGTCTGAACACCCTCAGGAGCTTTCCTTTGTTTCGTCTGGGTCAGAGGTGGTGGTGGTTGTTGTTTTTGTTTTCGGACACCATTCATCTCACTGTATAGCCCAGGCTGGATTCGAACTCTTCACCCTCCTATCTCAGCCCCACTCCCCCCGCCCCGAATTGCAAGCATGAACTGTCAAGTCCAGATTCCCCTTAAGGTTTTTCACTCAGTCCCTGAACCTCTCAGGGCAGGGAAGGGGTGAAGGAGGCAAGGAGGACTAGCCAAGGTCCAGGACTTCTGTGCCTAGCTTTGACTGGCCTGTCCAGAGAAGCTGAAGGGAGCTTGGCTGGGCAATCTGCCAGGGGAGCTCAGCCAACCAGATTCCCCAGCGTGCTGACCTCTCCGAAGGACAGACGCTGGAGGACCAGATTGCTGGGGCAGAAAGTTACCCAGAATGTGGAAGGGCTCTGAATCCCTCCAGGGCCTGTGGTAACACTGTGGCTCCATTGCGGCTCTGTGACCGGGTTCCAGAGAGAGAGGGAGAGCCCTTACAAGCTGCCCAGCATGTCCTGAGGGCTAGATCACACTTCAGGGACTTATTCTCACTGTCTGCTCTTTCTACCCTTGCCCCCAGCCTTTCCATCCGCGAGTGTCTAGGGACTGTGTTCCTTTCAGACCGTAGCCGTCAGGAGGGCCAGCGGCCAGCAGCTCTGTACAAGAGGTTCCCCGCCACTGCCCCACCTGCTCCTAAGCAAACACCCCTCCTCTACTCTTTCCATGCCATCCATCTTGCTAAGCCCAGCCAGACACCCCGTGTGGCCACATGCCATCCCTTAAAAGAACTTCTGTGCTGGGTAGAGCGACGACGATCACCCAGAGCCTGCCTGCCAGGGCGTCTTGGTGTCCCAGACAGTGTCGTGGAGCCCAGGCCTAGACGGTGAGGGAGGGAGGCGGAGCAGACACTACCTATGGCTGCCTTGCATGGCTGGGTTTGTGTAGTGCTGATAGCCGGGGTGGAGACACTGAACCCCAAGGGCCCCGTCTGCACATCTGCAGGAAAGCAAATCTCTCAGTCTTCCACTGGGAAGAGAGGGGAAAAACTGGTAAACTGAGGCACACCAAACCAGCAGGACTTACGGCACATGGTATCTCTTGATCTTGTCTCCCTAGGCACTTTTTCTGAACCTCCATGGTGGCCCTAGTCATCACAACTGTCCCCAAGAACCATTATCTATGGGCGGCAGGGGGTGGTCCCGTCAGGGCATTGCCTGCGTCAGAAACCCGAGTACCTGAGTTCGGAACCCCGGAATACACATAAAAAGCTGGTCAGGGGGAGCTGGAGAGATGTTCCGGCAGTTAAAAGCACTGGCTACTCTTCCACAGGACCCGAGTTTAATTCCCAGCAACCATATGTGGCTCATGACCATCTCTAACTCCATTTCCAGGGGATCCAATGCCTTCCTCTGGCCTCCATGGGCACACAGACATATATGCAGGTAAAACATTCATACACATAAAACAAAAATAAATCTTAAAGACAAGTTGAGCCTGTTGGCTCAGATCTATAAACCCAGCACTGGATATATATATATATAGGGGCAGGTGGATCTCTGGGGCTTTAACTAATTATGAACTCCAGATTCAGCAAAAGGTATTGTCTGAAAAACAAGGTGGGGAGTGAGTGTCTGAGGAAGACACTTGGCAAGATCCCTGGCCTCTACACGCATGTGCACACACATGTATCCACACACCCAAAAAGAAACGCCATTTTGATTTCCTTCCTCATTAGCCCTGGGAAGCAGCCATCACTCCTGAGGAGAAACGGGGCGAGCAAAGGAGCAGAACTCATAAATATCTCCCCAGGGCTCAGCCAGGATTAGAACCCAGGTCTAGTCCGACTCCGGCACCCTCATCTAACCACTGGCTTCCTGCCTGCCACAGCTCTAGAAGCCCAGCCGGTCTCTGGCTGTGTCTCCTCCCCACTTAGCACAGAGCACTTGATAGGCATGACCACGTCTTCCTCCTCTAGGCAGCCACGCTCTGAGGTGAGGTCCTCCCGCTGATCAGTCAGGGAAATGAAACACAGAATGACCCTGGAGCTGGTGAGACGGCCCAGTGGGCGTTTGCCACCAAGCCGGATGGCCTGAGTTGGCTCACCGGAACCCACACGGAGGAGGGAGAGAATCAACCCGCCCCAAGTTGTTGTCTGACTTGCACCTGCGCTCTGTGGCACATACACACTGGCTGCACCCCGATGGATGAATGATTAAAAAATAAATAAATAAATAAATAAATAAATAAATAAATAAATAAATAAATAAATAAATAAATAAATGGCCGGCCGTGGCATCTGCGCCATCGGATGTTTACCCTTCCCTGCCCTCTGAGCATTAACGCCCAGCATCACATCCCAGGAACCCCCGACTGTGAACCGAGTCAGGCCCAGGGTTTGGTAAATCTTTCTTACCTCCACTGACCCCTGGGTAAAAGAGGGAAAGACCACAAGGTCGCTAGCCGGAGGCCACACAGCTTAGCCGTGTAGAAGAGGCTGAGCACTCACGGCTCCTGAGCGACTTGACTTTGCCCCTCAGACATAAACCACAGTAAATCAATCACCGGTCCCCCCGTCCCCACTCCTCACCGACCAGCAGCTGGTGCAGGCCTTGACAGCCACATGAGACCAATGTTCAAGCCATCTTCTCAGGTCACAAGTACCTGGCATTGCCATGGCAACCCTGGGTCTGGAGAACGGCTCTTGTGGGCAGAGGCCACAAGAGTGGCCAGGGCACATGTGTGTTGGGTCGCTCAGCAGTAAATCAGGTGTGCCCAACCTGTAGCCTAAGGGCTGCATGAATATGAGGATAACGACAAATGTGGCCCGGATCATTTGTGGATGACAGTGACATACGGCAAGGTCACAAGGTTGAACACCCCCGGCTTGAAATAGTCAACATTAACCCTTTAACACGAGGCTGGGTCTTCCCTAAGCTCTTATTTCATTAGGAGTGTGTGTGTGTGTGTGTGTGTGTGTGTGTGTGTGTGTGTGTGTGTTGAGGGGAGCAGAGAAGAGAATATAAAGGCAAGAAGATGCCACCTCAATCTTCATCCACAGTGAGGTGACTGGAAGTATAGAAAGACTGAAGAGAACCCCCACTGCATAGCCCCACACCAGCCAATGGCAGCAGCCCCAGCAGGGTCCCTACCATCCCTCTGCAGACCTTACCTCATTGTTGACAAAGCAGTACAAGATGGCCACCATCAGGCCCTGGAAACAAGAGGTGTGTTAGCAGGAAAGGACTCAGGAGGAGGCCCCCCGGGGTGACTAGCCTCTGGGATTCCTCTCCTCAAATCAAGCAGCCCAGACTGGCTTGGGAATAGACAAGGGTTAATTTTTTTTTAATTTTCCAAAATAAATTTGTGTGTGTGTGTGTGTGTGTGTGTGTGTGTGTGTGTGTGAGAGAGAGAGAGAGAGAGAGAGAGAGAGAGAGAGAGAGTTTACATGCACCATGTGTGTGCAGGAGCCCTTGGAGGCCAGAAGAGGACATCTGAGCCTCTTGGAACTGGAGTAATAGGTAATTGTATACGATAGCACATGGATGCTGGGAACCAAGCTTCCAGAGCAGCAAGTGCTCCCTCCTAACTGCTGAGCCATCTCTCCAGGCCCAGTTTCTTACATTTTTCACTCATGCTGCACCATCTCATGCTAGCGAGGAGGACCGATTCCTCGCTTTGAACCCATATGACACATCCCCACCCTCCTACCCCCGTCCCGTGCTGTGTGGCTAGTTCTTCTGAATCGAGATATTCCTTCCTGGAAGGAAGAAAGAGGCTCCTAAGACCTAGGAAACGCATGGGACTTGTAAGACCCAGGAAGTTCAGAAAGTTACAGACTCCTCCATGGGGTTTATATGAGCAGTCGGCAGTTTTGGGGGAAAGAGGAGTATGGTTGTTTGAAAGAAAATGGCCCCCAAAGGGAGTGGCACTATTAGGAGGCTTTGTTGGAGTAGGTGTGGCCTTGTTGGAGGAAGTGTGTCACTGTGGAGGCGGGCTTTGAGGTCTCCTATATGCTCAAGCCATGCCCAGTGACTCAGATCACTTCCTGTTGCCTGTGAGTCAAGGTGTAAGGACCCTCAGCTCCTTCTGAGAGCTTGTCTAGAGAAGGACATGTCTAGCACGTTTTCCTGAACACTGCCTTGCTTCCTGCCATGACCATAATGGACTAAACCTCTGAACTATAAGTGAGCCACCACAATGAAATGTTTTCCTTTGCAAGAGTTGCCATGGTCATGGTGTCTCTTCACAGCAATAGAAACCCTAACTAAGGCAAGGAAACTCTTCCCCCATGGAGCTGTCTGCAAATCATGCAGGGACCTCCAGGATGCCGCTTCTGTAAGTCATCATCCATGCTGGGACGGACCTTTCAACGATGCAGCTGCCTTTGAGTCACCCACGGCCCTGTATCCAAGCCCAAGTTCATTGGCTCACCACCTGGACTTCAGTGGCATCATTTCCTTGGTCAACCATGAGTATTCTATGTGGACCAAATAGTTATCTGTTCGTGTCTTCCTAGGAAAAGTCACACAACCCCCTGTAAACCCTGTTTTAACATCTCCGGGCCTCAGTTTCCAGTTATGTCAAGTAGGGGCGATCTCGCAACTGTAGGTCGTGGGAGGACTGAATGCATTGTGTGTATAAATTGCCTGGCAGGAAGTAGTGGATGGCGGTGCCTCTCTCTAGATGCCCAGATGCCCAGGTCCACATCTGAGAAGGCTTCTTGTCCTATGGACTTACAAAGAAGACTGACTTCTATGTCCGAATACCTGGGGATACTCGCTCTGGCTCTGCTCCCACCGTGTAACCTGGGGCCCAGATTGTTCTCTCGGGTCTCATCTTATTCATCTTCCCCCGTCTGCATGATGCAAGCTGGTGCCCGCCCCTCCCTCACTTTGGGACATCCCAGGCATGTGCCCCCCAACTGTGAGTCACCTGGAAGGAAGTGAAGGAGAGCTCTGTGAACAGTTTGATGAAGCGGAGGGTCCCTCGGGCATGTTCGTCCATCACAAAGGCAAAGATGACCTCATGTGTCCCCAGGAGGGGGATGAGCGTCAGAGTGGACTTAGCAAGTCTGGAGAGAGAGGGTGAGACGGCATGTGTCATTCAGCTACTTGTACGCAGACCGCTCTTTTCTCTCTGTGCCCACCATGGACACTCTTCACTGAAAATACCCTGGACGAGCTGCCTTGGTGTGTGTGTGAGAGAGATGGGGGCAGAAGCCAAGACTCTAGAAGCTCAGGGGATGTCTAAAATAGATTGAAAAGCTTCGGGGTTGCAGACCTGATAGGAAAAGAGGGATACACAGGGCTCCCAACAGAGTGCCCAGATTCTCTCTCTGGTGAAGGGGAAGGCCAAGGGCACCCCTGCAGCCTTCTTGGTTAAGGTACCTGCATTTGATGTCAGTTTTGCACATGAGATTTGCCTTCAGTTTGGAGACCACAATGCAGATGACCCGGATGAAGATGAGAAAGTTGACCTGCAGAGCACATGGGCAGGAGGCTAGGACCATTCACCTTCCCCCAGTCATTAGCCTGGTCCCAGGCCAGATCCACCAGCTTCCATTTCAATCCCCAGCTCTGTCACTCACCCCAATAGCAAAGAGAATGGGCAGTCGAATGATGAGCCAGTAGTTCATGTTGGAGTTCCTGGTCCAGCAGCTGGGGAGGAAGAGAGAGGCACACAAGGCATCCAACTGGACACTCAGAGGCTCCAGTGGTTAGTGCAGGACAAAGGCACAAGGACCCAAAGCCAAGCAAAGTGCTACACTCAGCCACAGATCCATGTAGAATCCTGTAAGTGCATCACATGCCCCACCCCAGAGTCCTCAATACATGGTCACCCACAGAGAGACCCATGCCTCTCCCACATCGTCACGGACCTCTGCAAACAGTCATACGCACACCCAGCGTCATACACAAAACAACAGGCTCTTCACTCTGATGTTCATAAAAGCCATCAGGAAGGCATCATGCACTGCAAAGGCCAGCAATATTGATCATCATACCATCCCAGGGCAGGTGCAGGGAGTAGAGATTAGAGACGGAATTCGTATGCTAAACTCCTGCTGGCCCTATGAATCCTCCCAAACAAGTAGAAAACTTGTGCTCCAGGGTTCAAGAATCCCACAGATTATAAGGATGAGACCCCAGCCCACCACACTCCTGCAGCAAGACACTCACCCCTCATCCTCATAGAGGTATTTGACAATGCCCCAGGGGATAACAAACAGCAGAGGAACACCTAATGGGGAGAAGGAAAGACAAAGAGGAGAGAAGCTGGCAGGACAGAGCTGCTGCCACAGTGCCCAGGTCCGCTCACACCCTGGACCCCTCACATCTCCGGCCCCTCAACCTTCCTGGCCCTAAAGTAGTGCTTGTGAGAACGGAGGTGAAGGGTTTCACACTCATGTCCCACATTCTTCCTCACAGAGTTCGTCATGGTCCAGCCCCTCCTGGGTGCCAGGTGCCCTGCTGGGATTTGTCTCTAGAATCTTGGCTGTGAGATCCCAGGACAGACACTCAAGTGGCACAAGATCAGTACAACGTGGTGGGGAGGACATGCTGGGTGAGGAGGGGACCAGGAAGACTCTCTGATGCTCCATCCTCCCTCTTTTCAGCCCAGATGCCCATCTCAGTCCACACCTTAGGTCCCAGAAGCCCCTTCAGGTGTTTGGTTCCTTCCCCATGTACCTGTTTGAGGACTAGAAAAGAGACAAGGCCTGTCCCATTTATATTGAGGCCTACACAATTACTAACTGCAGCAGCAAGACTCCTCAGTGAGCGCTAGGGTTTAGACATGTGACACTAGATGGTGGAGCCTTCAGAAGATAGGGTCTGTGGGCAGTCCTTCCCAGAGGAGATTTTGGGACACTCAGCCTGTCCAGTCTCTCATTTTTCCTTCCTGGCATGAGGTGGACTATTTGTTCACTCATATGTACCCCACCACTGCAATGTGGCACCCCCACAAGAGGCTCAAAGCAAGGAGTCTGCCTAATCTTTGACTTGAATCTGCAGAATGGTGATCATATAAATAGCCCTTTTCTCTTTATGATAACAATATTTATTTTATTATAGCAATGCAAAGTTGACGAATATAGCTTAGAGGTAGCCACTTAGATGGTTCCCAGTAATCACTACCTCTAGGTATTCATACTTGTTGTTGTTGTTGTTGTTGTTGTTGTTGAGACAGGGTCTCAAGTAGTCCAGACTGGCCTCAAACTTGCTTTTTTTGCTATAAAGTCAAAGATGACCTTGTACTTCTGATCTTCCTTCATCCACTTCCTGAGTACTAGGATTATAGACTTTTGTGCTCTCGCTCTCTCTTTCTTTCTCTCTCTCCCTCTCCCCCTCCTCCTCTCCCTCTCCCTGTCTCCATTTACTTGGGGAAGTAGAGGGAGTTGTCACACCAAGAGTGTTCCCTAACAGTGTACAGAGAGCTCCCTACAGCAAGGCATGGAGGGCTCCTACCCACAGCTCCATGAGTGAGCTTGGAGATCGATTCCCCAGTCAAGCCCTAGATGGCAGTAACTCTGACTAGCAGATCCAGCTAGATATTCTGAGTCAGGGATGCACAGCCATGTTGAACTCAAGACTTTTGAGCACAGGAACTGTGAGATTGTAGTTTGTGGCTCTAAGCAGCAAAGAGTCTGGCTGGTTCCTAAGGTGTACAGGGTAGACTCCCCAGAGCTCAGTCTGTGCTGAGCAGATGGGCCGGTCAGCCTCTCCCGGCAGCTGAGGAGATGGACAGGAGGAAAGAACACATGTAAGAGCAGATTCTGGGGCTGTAAGCCTACACCCGCTCCAGCCATCCTCAGAGGCTTTCTGCATCAATATCTCATTACCTGCCTCTACCTATGCCTTTCTCAAGTTGGTCATGTGGATGTCTGAGGTAGGTCACAGTGTGCACATTAAGGTATGTGGACACAGGTTTCATGCACGTGGTGGAGGGTAGCTTTAGGACATCTCTCCCAGGTGTACATTTCCAAGGCAGAACCATGTCAGAACCTTTCCAGTCACCACCATCAGTGTCCTCAACTCATTGGTGTCCACACAGTCACAGCTGCTGAGCAACTTGTGCGTCTGGATCACCGTATTGGCCCATGATTCAGAGAGGGGAGGGGAGGGGATCTAACAGTGCACAGCTGGCCAGCATCCATCAGGTCTCCCTATTGGTCCATTTACTAATGTTACTATTACTATTGTTTAAAAGTTTTATTACATTCCTGTGTGTGTGTGTGTGTGTGTCTGTCTGTCTGTCTGTCCGTCCCTATATATGCTCAAAGGTGTGTGGTGCAAAAGTGTGTATAGACCCACGAACATGAGAGCCAGAGGACAACCTCAGATGTCATTGCTAAGGATCTGTCTACCTTGTTGTTTGAGTCAGGGTCTCTTGCTGGAACCTGGGGTTTAGCAACTAGGTTAAACTGATTAGTCAGTAAGTCCTGGGCATCCATCGGTTTCTGTCTCCCTGGTACTGGACTTACAAGCAGGTGCCACAACTCTTTTATATGGGTTCTGGGGATCCAAACTCCAGTCCTCATTATTATTCAGTAAGCACTTTTCATCGAGCTCTCTCTCTCTCTCTCTTCCTGCTCTCTTTATTTCTGCACAGACCAGCCATCCAACATCCATGATGCTTTATAAACAAGCATTTGTTTGGACTGAACAAATAACAGGGTGGCCTAGGAGGGGCCTGGGACATGGCCTAGACCCTGCCCCATAGAATATGCCCTGTAGGAATGGAATAAATATATCCACGAGAGAAGGGAAGCTCTCTAGACAAGACCATGCAATTTCTTAGGCCCTACATGCACAGAAACTTCAGGTGGTGAGTCCTCCATCAGTTGCTGTTCTCTCTGAGATCTCACTCCAGAATGAATGAGCTTGCTTGTGCCACCAGCCAGCTCTGATGAGCTTCATCCATGCATTAACATCTGTCACCCACCAAGGTGACATTCCCCTTGAAGGCTACAGTTCTCCAAGACAAGCCGGGGGAGAAAGGGTAACCAGAGGCACAGAACAGGTCTTAGGAAGTCATGTCTTCCCATCAACACTTATCTCCCTTCTGGGGACGGCCAGCTGCTCATGGATGGCAGTACCAGTTGATGTACCTTTTAGGAGCTTTCCACAACTCCATCAGTCTTGCTTTTACTTCAGCTGCACAGGAAGCTAGAAGTTGTCTGCCTATCCTGACTCAGGCGAGGCCTCCTGACATGGCCATAGAGCAGGCAGGTCTCTGTGACTCCTGTTTTTTCTCTGACCCTGCCTCTCCCCACCCCAGCTCCTCAAAAAAGATGTCCTTGTTGGGGAAGATGTCCCTGAGGGTCCTGAGCCCCGAGCTAGGCTAAGCAAGAAAGACCTGGCACCCTTCCTTCCCCCATATCCTACTTAAAGACCTTCACAGTACCGTATGTCTCCACTGACCCTTACCAACTCCCTGCTTTCCCGAACACATGACTTTGATTGGTCCTGCCCTCGGGTTGCTATGGTGACAGATACAAACAGCACTGATGTTATTTCCCAGAATGGACAGACGCTATCCGTCCCCCCCACAGGAAGCCCTTCCCTGAGTTCTCCTCAATGGCCTGTCCCTGCACCCACCCCTAGGGAGCATCAGACTCTCCAGATGTCCCACCTGATGGGGTTGTCTGGCAGGATAAAGAGGCCTAGGAAGGAAGGAAAGATCTAGTAGGGTGGGCTGGGTCTTGGAGGAGGAGGAGGAAGAAAAGGGACTGTCGGGAATCTCTGCATGCTGAAGCTAGGGCCACTTTTATCTGTACAGAGACCTAAGCCTGCTCAGCAGAACCAACAGAGGACTGAAGAGAAAAGCAGAAGCCCAGGTCTGTGCTTGGCAAGTGGACAACAAGGCCCAGAGTCAGGAAGTTAGTTGCCTCTTGTGACTCAGGGTATGCTTTGTCTTTAAGGCCCTGTTGCTCCCTGGGTCTTAGGGACCTTAATACTTTGGTTACAACAAGCCCCGACTAGAGCTCCTCATGCCTGAGGTGGCCGAGGGGCACCCGAAGAAATAAGTAGGGTGCAAGGAGAGTGCAGAGGGGCTGAGAGAGCCAGAGGCCAGGGTCCTAAGGGCCTGGAAACCTGAGGCAGCTTCCTGGAAAGTGAGCTGGAAAGCAACCATGCGATGAGGAGGATGCTCCCAGCACCAAACAGCATCTTGGAAGGGCAGGATGAGGACGGGAGAGCACGCGGTCTGCTCTGACTGAGCTGAGATGTCTCCGGAAGCCAAGGCTGGGAAGGACCAGAATAGCTCTCGGGACTAAAGGCATGGCACGAGGAAGAAAACCCTGGAACTCCAAGGGGAGATCGAAAAGGGCTCCAGCCTCCCACCCCCACCCCAACTGACCTGCAGTCCTCCTTACCCTCCACGTGACTCTCATGCGGCGAGAGGTAGAAACACAACCAGAAATGTTCCAGCAAAAAAAAAAGCACAATGGTTCTCCGTAGACTTTTTTTGGCTAGAACATTTCTAGCTGGGCTCCAGGCACATCCGCAGTCCGCCCCTTTCCTCAATGCTCACCTCTCCCAACTTGGCTCTCCTCTGAATCATCCCCTCTATCATTACAACAGTATCCTACCCCCGGCCCACCCACAGTGAGGCCCAGGATGTAGCGCCTCCCACAGGACCCCTGGTACCCTGCACCGGGTATGAAATGCTCTCCCCACAGGACCTTAGTATTTTGAGGACAGTATCCTCTATGGTGTGGTGGCAAGGTTAAGGGTCAGGGTAGGGGGATGTGTGGCCATATGAGAACAGAAGCATCTATTAAGAAAGGAGATTTGTGTTTTTTTTTTTTTAAAGACAGGGTAGGGTCTGCCACCCCTTGCTGCAGGTTCCCATGGAAGGCAAGGACAGTAGGCCTTACCCCAGCCTATGCTCAGGTACAGCTTGAAGATGCGCTGCTCCGAGAACACTGAGAAGGCCAGCAGCGTGTACAGGTACACACCCTCCACCAGCAGCCAGTAGTAGTTGGCCGCCACGCAGTACTGCATGAGCAGGAACACCAGTCGGCAGCTTAGAGAGTCCTGGGGACAAAGAAGGGTCCCGTTGGGACAGTGGCCCTGCCTGCCTGCACCTGCCGCTCCTCACTGTCCTGGCTTGGCCACTGTCCTACCATGCTTAACACAGGGTGAAAGCATTTTCATATGGCCAGGGCCACTCCTGGGAACTGTCTCTGCTTTAGTTCATTGGAACCCTCCCTAACCTGAGAAAAAAAGCACCTGCTATTGTTCCCATGCTGGGAAGAGAACGGAGTCCTGGAGAAGTTATACGACGTGTCTGAATTTATATACAGCTAGTGCATGGCAGAGCTGGGATGCAAACTCTGGTCTGCACCCAGAGTTCTTTCTGTGTCTCACTGAACTCCCTTTGGCAGAGCCTCTTACCTTGGGCTCACTTGCCCAGGGTGAACTGTCTCCTCCATCAGACTAGGGGCTTCCCATGGTGGACTTCCTCTTCCATCAGGCTGGGGGCTCTCTGTGTTGGACTGCCTCTCTCATCACACCGGGGGCTCCCTGGGGTGTCTTACCTCTCCCATCAGACTAGGGGTTTCCCACGGTGGACAGCCTCCTCCATCAGACTAGGGACTCCCCAGGGGCTCCCTAGGGTGTCTTATCTCTCCCATCAGACTAGGGGTTTCCCATGGTGGACAGCCTCCTCCATCAGACTAGGGACTCCCCAGGGGCTCCCTAGGGTGTCTTACCTCTCCCATCAGACTAGGGTTTTCCCACATGGTAGACTGCCTCTCCCATCATACAGGGACTCTCTGAGGCCACGTCTGGGATACTTTCGCTTTTACCCATCCCAGATTTATGCAGCGGACCCCTTCACCCATGCCCTTCCCTCCCCAGGTTCCCCAGGCTCCCCGGGCTCCCCGGGCTCCCCAGGCCACGCCATGCACCTGATACGAGAGCAGTCCGTCCCACTGATGCTGCTGGGCAGCGGTGCTGTACATCCACTTGAGGGCGGCATCCTTGATGAAGACGGACAGGGCTCGGAGGATGAAGGATGCAAACAGGTTCAGGTGGATGTAGTTCCGGGTGCAGTGCAAGTGTCTGAGGGAGAAAGCAGGGCCCTTCCCTGGCACGATGGCCAATGCTGGCTCCCGGCCAGCCCCCACACACGTCAGGCACGTGTCTCTCTCTCTGGGACTATGTTCACGACTTCCTTCCTCCGAGAGTGTCTTTCTTCCTCACAACCTTTGAAAACTCTCCGAAGCGCGCGCTGCCTAAGAGGCCCTCAGCCAGGCAGTCACCGCCTGTTTCCTACCCATCGTCTGTCCTTGCCGCGGAGCCTTCCCTCATACAGTTACAGGGAACCAAAGCAAGGTCTGTGCCGGATCAGTCTTCCCAGTGGGGGCTTTGATTCTTCGGGGCAAGACACTCCTGGACTGTTCTCTGGGACAGTGTGTGTCTAGGCGTACGGTAGGAATTAAGGATTTGGGTACCCTGTCAGCATACTGTCCGGTAAAAATGTGTAGCAGGGCCGAGGAGATCGCTCAGCGGGTAAGAGCATATGCTGTGCAAGCATGAGGGGCTCAGTTCAGATCCCCAGTGCTCACCTGGGAAACCAAGTGTGCACACCTGTAACCTCGGTGCTGGGGTGGGGGGCGGGGAGTGGGGCGGAGAGACCAGAAGATGACTCGGGTTTGCTGGCTGCCCCCCTAGCTCCAGGTTCAGTAAGAGTCCCCGTTCTCAAGCAAATAAGGCAAGAGTAACAGAGAGGGACATCCGATGTTCTTCTCTGGCTTCCACATGCTTGACATGCAAGCCATGTGCAGAGCATGCACATGCAAGCATGTGAGCGAGCAAACACACACACACACACACACACACACACACACACACACACCCCACTGTGTGGCAAACTGGAAGGAAGTCTGAGGGCACTTCATCTGCTCAAAGGCTATCTCTAAGCAAAAGGCAACTTCATTCTTCACAGAGGAAGCTGGCAACTATTTCCTTTAAAACCAGCAGCCAGGTGAGGACGTGTGCTCTCATCACCTCTAATGACTACTCTACAGACCCCAGCACTTCAGCAGGGCCACGGAAGGGGTGAACCAGAACTGGTTATGGCTTATAGATGAGTCTTTTCAGAGAAACCCCAAACAATGTACGGGTGAACTATAGCAACTAAAGAGCTTGTGGACAGCTTCCCTGACACATCCTAGCAAAATGCAGTGAAAAGAAACTGAAGATCCATTCGGAAGGTTCTATTTGATTTCCTGGAAATATCTCTAACAAGAGAATGGGTAAGATCCTTATGGGCAACATAGTAAAATTGGCTTAAGATTATCAGAGAAGTCTTAAATTAGTGGGAAATACATAGTCACACCGTACTTATCAACAGAAATGCCACTGTCACTGTCCCATGTCAAATAACGAATTCAAAGCAGCTGTGGTAAAATGTCAACTTTTTTTCATGGTACTTAAAAAGTTTACAAAGAATAGCTAAAGATCAAGGGTAGTGTGGGTGGTCATTACAGAACCATCAAGTGGCCCTTTCCTGTAATCCCAGCACGTGATAGGCTGAAGCAGGAGGATCAGGAATTTGAGGCAAGTCTAGGCTACAAAGCAAGGCCCGGTTTCAACAAGACAAGCCCCAGAGGGGCATGATTTGCACACCTATAATCCCACCACTTGGAAGGTGGAAGCAAGGGAATTAGGAGTTCAAAGCCAGCCTCAGCCACAAAGCAAGTTTAAAGCCCGTCCAGATTACATGAGACCCTGTCTCAAAACAATCAATACCCAAAAGAAATCACAACATAGGCGTCTTTGCTGTAACACAGCTAGGATTTCTCTGGGTCTATGTATGTGATACCTGCACATATGTGTGCATGTTCGTGGGTGTGAGTGGGAGTGCACGGGCAGAGGTCGGATGACAACCTCACCGTCTACCTTGACAGTCTCTGGTTCATACTCCTCACACCAGGCTGGCCAGCCCAGGAACTTCCTAGGGCACTCTTACCTCTGCCTTCCATGCCACTGCAGGAGCGCCAGGCCACAAACACATGCCACCAACTGTATCTGGCTTTCTGTGGGTTCTGGGGATGCAAACTCAGGTTCTCACACTCAAGAGTATCAAATGTTTAACTCACTGAGCCATCTCCACAGCCTGAGAGATGGGATTTATCTTTAAATCCCATAAATCCCTTAAATCCCTTAAAAAAATGTTATTGTGTTAATTAATTTTATGTATATATGGCATACATGTATGTTTGGGTCCACACATGCCAGGACACTTGTGTGGCGGCCAGAGGTCTGGGAATGAATTTGGAGGAATCAGTTCTTTTCTCACGCTGTGTGGATCCAGGGATTAAACTCAGGTCATCAGGGTTGGCCTTAACTTAATGGCCTGAGACCTTAAGTTTCTAGCAAATCTTTAGGAGACAAAGTGCTGTGGTTTGGGAATAGGATGGATAAACAGGCTGACAGAACAGGATGTAAACAACAGAAATAAACCTACGAATCCAGGGGCCCTTGTGCAAACCAAGACTGTCAGCAAAGGCACAGGGCAAGGGCCACATACCTACGGGGTGGGGGGTAGGGGATGAAATCCCAGGTCCTCACCTGACACACACTTAATCCCAGTGGACCCTGCAGCTTCTGGACAGGAACAGAGCTGAGTGGCTTTGCAGCCATCAGGTAAGAAAAGATTGCTCAAGGGAGAGCCAAAAGAAATCTAGTCTTCAGGAAAAAAATTAATAAATGTCTATCAATTGATAAAAATAACTTTTGTTAATTAATAGTCCCTATTGACACATTTTTACTTATCAATAAAAATTGATAGTTGGCCAATTTCATTTCATTTAAATGCAGAGCTCCTGTGTATAAAAGGCACCATAGAGTTAAAAAAAAATTGGCATAGATTAAGTGTATTTTGGGTTACTATCCAGATAACAAATGCCTAAAAGAAGCCATGAAAGCCAAATAAACTAAGAATAAAAAAATTAAAAAAAAAAAAAAGCAATGAGCAAGCAATACATAGACTAAAATATGAAATAAAAATCTCTCTGGGGGCCAAAGATAAGCACATTAAAATCTTAACAAGTTCTTTTGCACGCTTTATAGATCAGCTTCACTTAATTCTGAAAATATTAAATGTGGGTAGGGTCTGAAGCAAGGGGAACCTTCTTCACTGGTGGCCAGAGCACAGACTGGCAGCAGCCAGGCGCCTGGCAAGCCACCTAACACCAGCTGACAAAATAGTAAAAACCAGGCAGGTGGTTATTGGTGGCAACTGGGGATATGCCCCCAGGAAACACACAGGCAAAAACCACAGGGAAAAAAAAACATGGTTGTAAGGTTTGTAATGCGGAAAGGAAAAAATCAACAAAATGCTTCAAAGATCCATGACCGTGTGGACACAGGAATACAGGGACAGCTCAAATTAATGAAATAGGACTGCCTGTGTCAGAATGAACCTGACGAAAACACAGTGTTGGACTCCCATACCCTCGGAACTGCAGCAGGACATGGTCACTACGCTGTTTAAAATATCAGCGAACCACGCTGTGTGTTCTTATAGACACTCAGGAAAGGAGTGCAAGGCAATGAGATGGAGGGGGAATCAGGTCCTTACAAAAAAGGATTAGCGCTTCAGGGGCGGACGTGGGGACCTGGCGGATGTGCTTTGCTTTGTGTTGTAGCTCAGGCTAGCCTTGAACTTGTTATGTAACCCAGACCAGCCTTGAGCTTGTAGTAATCCTCCTGCCTTGATCTAAGTGCTGGGATTATGGGTATTTACCCGTAATCTGACTTGTAATAATTTGGTGGTGTTTTTTTTTTCATTTTTCCTGTAGGTGTGTGCATGATTGTATGTGCACGTGTGTGCACATAGGGAGGCCTGAGGATGATGATGGAAATCTTTCGCCATTGCTCTTTCAACTTTTTCATCAAGGCAAGGGCTCTCAATCAAACCCAGAGATCACTGAGATGGCTAGCCTGGCTAGCAAGCTTGTTCTGGCGATCCTGTTTTAACCTTCCAAGGCTGGAATTATAGGTAGGCCACCAAGCCCACCTGGCTTATGTGGCTTTCTCAGGATCTGAACTCTGCTCCTCACATTTATGTGGCAAGTACTTTAACTGTGGAGCTCTCTCCCCAACTCACAATGCCTTAGTTCTAAGAGCGTATTCCTATATGCATTTTCACTATACATAGTCTGAATCTCTGGACTAGTTCACAATAAGAGTATTTGATATGATTTGAATATAAATCTCACTGGGATGTGTAGATTGGGATGGTGACACTATTTAAGTGTCACCAAGACACTTAAATGCTTTATGGGGTGGAGCTTAGGAGCCTAAGTGGAGGAAGTAAGTCAGCAGGGGTGTGCCTTTGAAGAATATACTCACTCTTCAGTCCCTTCCTCTCTCTGCCTCCTGTCCATCAGGAGATGAACAGCTCCCTCTGGCACATACTCTCATGGCCATGATTTTCTCCCCAATCCCATGGGGGTCAAATAGCCAAAGACCAAAGCCCAAAAATCATAAGTCAAAACCAAGCCTTCCGCTCTGAAACTGTCCTTGCATGTATCTCTCTGGCACATAAAAGTAGCTAACACAATCCTCATCCAATGAATGCATTTATTGAACACTGACTGTATGTCCAGTGTTGTCCCAGATGCTTTAGAGACCAGAGGAGAAAAAAAAATCCCTCGTTTTTATTAAATATTTACGTTTATTCTTTTAAATATGTGTATGCTGTGTGTGTGGGGAGGTAATGAACACATGAGTGCAGGTCCCACAGGGTCCAGAAGAGGGCACCATATCCCAAAGAGCTGGAATTACAGGTGGTTGTGAGCTGCCCAGCATGGGTACTGGGAATTGGACCAGGGTCCTCTGCAAGAGTGGGATATGTTCTTAAATGCAGAGTCATCTCTGCAGCCCCGCCTCTCCTATTCTTGATAGTCGAGATCCCGAGGTTTCTAACACCCACAATTCCTCTGACCTTAAACTCAGTTTCCCTCACTTACCCCAGAGAGATTAAGGAAGCTGCTTCTCAGCCGGCTCCCTCAGGTAGGTTAGACCCAAGAAAGAACTTTCCAGTGGCGTTCCAAGACATCTCCAAGACAGTAGGATCTCTGGCCACTGAGACTTTCCTGAAATCATGCTGAACTATTGATTATCATCTGCATGCTGGATGTGACTTCTTGGAATTTCCCATCATCTTACCATCCAGTGTTACAATTCGTGTGTGTGTGCACGCACACACTCATGTAATTTTTTGGAGTGCACGTGTGCAGTTACACGGTGGAGATTAGACTGAACACACACTGCTGCAACCTGTTTTCAACCTCATGTTTTCCAGGAAGTTCCAGAAAGCAGGACCCCGACTACTTTGGCTTGAGATTCCTCTACTATGGAAATGAGCACAAGACAGTCCTTCCTGCTCCGTCCTGAGCTCCCCTTACCTGAAGCCAACAAGGATGGCTGAGGCGATGACCAGGGCAGAGAAGGAAAGTGCGTAGCCCACGGTGTAGATAATGTACAGAGACAGGAGCTGTTCCTCGGGGGAGTTCTGCGTGCATAGAGGGACACAAGGATGTATGTATGCACAGCCTGTGAGCCTCCTCCTCCCCTACCTTCATTCCAGAGTCCAGGGACTGAGGTGACCTGAGGCCCCACCTGGGATTCCAGGATCAAGGAAGAGCATGACCTATGGAAGTGGTCCAGGGATGTTTACAACCTGGCTCCAAGGTGAGCACACATCACCTTTGGCCAGACGGCAGATGTGCAGAGTCACCCGAAGCACGGGGACAGATGTGACAACAGGCAGCCCCACCCACAGCCCAGAGTCTCTGCTCCCATGAAGCAGACACCCCGTGGCCCCTTCCCAGGCTCAGAAGCCGACAGCTCACTCACTCTCTCCCCTCGCTTGGACTCTTCACACTCCGACAGGTCCCTCCAGGGCAGGCTGGAGTTGTCCTTCTGTAGCCAGAGGCCCTCAGCCGTGCAGAACCGGTACACATGGCCCTGGAGCACTAGAGGAGGGGAGACATGGCAGCTGAGGTGCAGCTAGGAATGAGCAGCCCACCCAATGTTGTCCTTTTCTTTTCCTCTCCTGAGGGACCCCGCTCCATCAGAGCTGACTCTTCTGAGTTAGTAACAAGCACGTCCTCTGTGTTCACACACACACACACACCATGATGGTCCAGATACATGATAAGAGATCGCACAGCAAGGATCACCCAGTCACCTTCATCTGTCCCTCTTAGCCACCCAGGGACACAGTTGGGTGAATCCATAGCTTTTAGACAAGACAAATCTAGTTTAGATCCGTCTTATCCCCCAGCCTCAAATCGCACTGTTGACAAGGTCTGGTGCTGAGCAGAAGGGACCCTGCCAATCACAGTCACCCTCTATGATTTCTGATATTCCGGACTCAGAGTCCTTCCCCCTCCTGCATTCTTTGGGGGATAGACAGCCCTACAACTTAAGCTGTCTGGTACTGAACTTCTAAGAACAAAACTAAAGCAACCTGTCCCTCAGGGAGCCCCAGTCTAAGGAGACATGGCCTGCCCAGGGAGCCCCAGTCTGAGGAGACATGGCCTGCCCAGGGAGCCCCAGTCTGAGGAGACATGGCCTGTCCTCAGGGAGCCCCAGTCTTAAGAGATTCAGACTCCCTCTCAAAGGCCTCTAAAAGGAACACAAAGTGTTGTGGCGCCGTCATAACTGTTGCTCTTGGAAAATTTCCCTTCAAATCAGGAGACAAAGCTTGCTCCTTCAACCAACCCTAGTCCTATGTTCAAGAAGGAAACTGCTCTGAGACCTGTTCCTCTGAGAGAAAGCAACAACTCGGTCCCTGCCCTCGTGAGCTCCCAGAAGAGAGCAGTGAACAGGGAAATCAGCGGGGACCCGACACAGTCTCAGCAGAGCTGGGAGTGGGCGGCCACACGTGGTCTTCACATCCACTCGACGACCACCGGGGGGCTGGGGCAGTTCCCATCATGCTCTACTGTGGACCTGTGGACCCGTCTAGGGAGATGAGGGAGAGGAGTGGATTTCCAGCCCAAGACTCCATGTAAGGCCAGCAGAGCGCTCTATTTATCTAGGAAATGCCTCACTTGTTGCCTCCCTGTGGGAGAACTTAAATCTTCCACCAGGGCCAAGGAACAGGGTAGGGGTGGGGGTGGGGGGACAAACAGGTTGAAGGAGGTGGGGTTAGCACAGGAGAGTGAGGAGGGCAGCAAGGTCAGGGCGGACTGCAGACGATTTAAATTCTGTAAGACTCGACAACTTGAATCAGCGAGATGGATCAGCTGCCCGCCCGTAGAGATGACTGCTGCCCTGAGTTCTGTCCCCGGGCCTCACACGATCACATGATCGGAGGAAAGAAGCAGTTCTTACAAGCTCTGATCTCCACATGAGTGCCTTGGCATGTGCCTCCCCTGAATGAGCAAATAAATGTAAGAAAATGGTTTAAAGACCAAAAGACTTGAAGGACCGGCTATGGGCAGCAGCCAGTGTGGAAAGGAGGGGCGGGGGGGGGGGGGGGGTGAAGAAGTCACCAGGAGCCCTTGATGGCTCTGGCTGGTCAGTGTTGAGGTGGAGAGATTGTCAATCGGAGGAGGCTAATTAATGTATGTACATGGCAGACTGGCAGCTGCATCCCGTGGGAGACCATACCCAAGGGACGCCCACCCCAGGGACAGCCTTTCAGTACGGAAACCCAATCTCCCAGCTTCTGAGACCATTGTTCTGTGGCGGGGAGACTTACTGTTGGTCCTGTGACAGCCTCTTCCAGCACAGTCACGCACCTGTCAATCAGGCCTTACTCTTAAGACCAGCCCTGCCACTCAGCACCCAGTGTGGGCCGTCCTCACTCTTCCTCCCCTTCTTTCTCTTTTCCCTTTCTCTTTCTTTTCCCGTTCTCTTTTCCCTGCCCCTGAGGCAGGTCCCTCTTCAGGAGAGCGACGTTATCCAAGGAAAACAGCTTTGTAGTATCACTACTGTTAGAGGAGTCTGCACAAGTGCATGCGTGTGCACATGCAAGTGTGTGTGGGGGGGGGGAGAACGTTTGTGTGCGTGCACAAACACACACGCACTCCTGTGCATGGAGGCCAGAAACTGATGGTGGATGCCAGGTGCCTCCCCGACAACCAGCTTGCGGTTTGGACAGGCGCTTTCACTGGACCTGGAGCTCACTGACTTGGGTAGACTAGCGGGCCAGCCAGGCCCTCCCCTGGGCAGGCACACCACACCCCAGCCAGCTTTTCACATGGTGCTGGTGATCTAAACTCAGCTCCTCTTGCTTGCGAGGCAAGCGCTTTACCAACTAAACTGTCTCCTCAGCCTGAAACCTGCGTTGTCAGAGACTTCAACAAAACCTCAAGAATCGGATGGTGGCTCATCCAGTGTGAGTAGTGAGTGGGCTGAGCCCCGGAAGCATCTCTGAGGCCTTACCAACAGTTGGGCACATATAAAGGCAGGGGAGAACAGGTGCATGGTCTCATTTTAGCATCTTGAAGGGCCATCCTCAGGTCCCCAAATGCTTCCCTCATCTGCTGCATGGATGCTTAAAAATTCTTTAATGGGAGTCCAGGCTTCTGGTAGATAGCAAATCTGTCTTTGGCTGTAGATACACCCCAAGAATGGTGACAGGGACCTGGGCCAACTTTGTGGGAATGACATTGGTACAGAGCTTGCTCTGCAGTCTGGACGGGAGGAAGTGGGGAGAAGGAACCTTGGGAGCTAGGAGAAGGGAGGAAACACAGCGGTAGATTCTGCCCACAGCTGGCACAAACCCCAGCAGACAGTGGACACTGTGCCCTGCATGCACTGCGCACACAGTAGGTACTGTGCCCTGCATGCACTGTGCACACACAAGGCTCTGAACTCTACATGCACTGTGCACACTTCGGGTGCTGAACCCTACATGTACCGTGTACACAGTAGGCACTGTACTGTTGTAGGCTTCCTCCCTACATGCACCCCGTATGTTGTCTCTCAAGGCCACTTACTCACAGAATCGGGCTTTGAATACCTACTGTATGCTTGCACCTTAGAACATCATAGCCACCTCACCAGGTTAACCATTTTACAGATGAAAACACTGAGCCTCTGAGAAGCCGGGCGGTCTGCTCAAGACCAGGCCGATAGGAAGAAGCACAGACAGGATTCTAACTCCCAGCTCCAGGGGCCAAAACTTAGCAGCCTGAGTTGTGCCAAGAGTCCACTGTGGCCAGGTGCCGTTTTCTCCTGTCCTTCCCTGGGTTTGGGTTTCCACACATGCCATTGCGGCCCCCCAGACAGCCTGCAAAGCTCTGGGCTCTCTGCTCAGGGCCAGCTTGGGGATGGGAAGGTAGTGTGTGCATGGATGTGTGTCTCCTTGGCTTAGAGTCAAGAGATCACTGTGTCTCAGAGGAGCCCAGCCTGCAAGTTCATCTGTCAGTTAGCCCTCGTTAACATCAAATATTAAAAGCCACGACTGGATACTGGCTGAGCCCATGGTCCCCAAAAAGCCCTTCTTGGCTGGAGGTGGGTGGTCTGGGCAAAGCCCTGCTTATCAGCCCAGCCTTTATCTGGCCCGTGAGGAGCTGGCCAATCACAGCCACGGGCTTGGCTTGGTGTAGTCAATACGAGGAGACAACCAGGCGGCCACATGCCAGGAGGCCCAGGCATATTTCATTAAGTCAGCCCCTGGTGCTGGAAATAAAACCCCCAATTAAACACTTCGCCTCCCGGAAGCTGCCACGGCGTCTGTAATCAAGCTAACCGCCACCCTTCCACGTGGACGGCGGGCACTCAAAGCTGTCGAGAGCCGCTCATGAATCTATTAGCTCCTGCACCCTGGCAACAGAGGTGGCTGGCAAGGGCCGGGGGGGCCCCCATTTCGCAGATGGAGATGCTGAGGGTCAGCGAGGCTGGCACCCCTCCCAAATGTGACAGGATGGGGGCAGGGTCAAAGGCCGGGGCCGAGAAGCTTGGAGCATCGGGATTCAGGATGAGGCCAGGTTCCGAGTCCCGACTCAAGTGCAATCCTGGTTCCACTCTTTATCAGTGGTGGCACTTCGGGAGCGTTATTTCCCTGGCTCTCAGCTTCCTCATCTGGAAAATGGGAACCGTTCCTAGGAGGATGTGCAGGAACAGCCTGGTGCATGGTAGGCCTTCGACTGACACACAGTCACACAGAGGCCTTGCTACCTCCCCCAGCTTTGTGAGGCCCAACTTGGGCCTCAGTCTCCCCTTGGTAACCCTGGCTTGCTCTAAAAGCTCCCAGGTTCAACATTACTCCGGGGAGGCAGCCTGTCAAGAGTTTCTAAGAATTGTGAGTGATAGGCTATTTTAAAAGCATTTTATGACCCTCATATAATTAGAACTAAGCTAACAAACAGGTAGGAACTGCAGAGGAGGGGCTAATGAGGCTGGGATGATGTGTAAGGCGTGGGTCCCTGGTTGAGAGTGAATGGAGCTGCCTTTAAAAGGCCCGGAGACAGCCAACAGGCTGGAAGGCCTCACAGACCTTCGAAGACTCTCCCTTCCTGTCCTGTGTGGGCCAGACTCTTCCCATCATGGTCCTCTTCCTACTCTCTCCCTCCGCCCCTTCTACACCCTCTGGAGCCCCGAGTCCATGATGACAAGGGTCAGAATGCAAGGCCTAGAATGGTTATCTTGGGACACTGCGCACCTCGGAGGCCTGGGGTCTTGGCCCTGTGTCCAAGGTGCCTCCTGAGCATCGGCCCTCCTCCTGTCTGCCTATGCCTATTCTCCCAGCCGGGTCCCAATGTCACCTGTCCTGATGTCACCCCCAGGACACAGACATCTCCGACTTGGGCCTCTGCTTAGGCCATGAGGTTGACACTCCGGCTCCACGCGGCTCCCCTGCAGATGTCACCCAGACATGACTCTGGCTCCAGACAGGGGACTTAGCTCAGCTATGCTCGTTGGCTGGTTTGAATTTAGTTCTCTCTGAGGCCACCCACTCCTCTGCCTTGCTCTGAACCCCAGAAGGCAGACTCCTTCAGGGTTGCACCACACAATTCTTACTGGTCAACAGGAAGACACCAGCAGAAGATATCGGGATAAGAGAGAAAGAACCTGGGCATCTCTCTCTCTCACCCCTGCCCTGCTTTGTCTCTCTGTGGGCACCCGGCTGGTGGCCTCTTTGCCCTAACTCCGGGCATCATGGGGGCCTCTAGCCCCAAGCCTACTCCTTCCTTCTCTGGCCTTTGGGGGTGTCGATCACACTCCCTTCCTATTCTCCACTGGGCATGTTTTCCAGAGAACCCGCCAGAGACAAGGCCTGCCTGTCATCTCTCTGTCCCCAGCTCACGCTGTGAGGCATCTCCACCAGCTGCTCCCTGAGGCAGGCTAAGAATGCTCCAGAGGTGGCCCCTTCCTCATCTGCCCCCTCCCACACCCCACAGCCCTGGGTGGGGCTAGGGAGCCCCTCTAGTATGGTGATTGCACTGTGTGTGAGTCCAGTGGGTGTCTCTGTGGGTCCTCAGCTCAGGAGAGGGGGGAGGCAGAGCTGGTGATCTGGGTGTCCAAAAAAAAAAACCAGGAGGGGGAGTAAATTAGCCTGGTGAGGAGGGAGGGGCGGTTGCTGGCAGGGGGCCTGTGCAGAGGCCGTTATCTTCATGGAGAAAGCAATAAAACCGTGTTCGCTCATAAACGGGCACCACCAGGACCTATTTCCTGCTCAAATAAAATTAAAGGTGATGGATGGAGCCGCGAGCCCAGGCAGAGCTGGGGGCGCTTAGTGCTGAGTGATAGGCTCCGTCCCGCGCCTGGTTCCCTGGGGTCTAGGGGCTCAGCCAGGATGCCCAGGCAGAGGTCCCAAATCTCTGAGACAGGGAACCTGTGCGCCATGCAGGAAGTTGCCCGGGCACGCAGGGGGGGTGGGAAAAATGAACGGAGACTTGTTTTCCCTCCCAAAGGGTCTCCAATCCTCTCCCGTCCACATCACTTGGCTCCACCCTAGCTCCCGAGTGAGCACAGAAACCAGTGCACAGAGAGGTCTAGGAACCACTCCTGACCACACAGCCCCTGGGGTCCTCAACAGGCAGGGCCACAGGATCGCCCGGCTCAGAGGGCAAGGGCAGGATCTCGTTGCCCTGACTAATGTGTACCCAGCCAATGGAGGTCATTCAGACCACTCACCTGTCTCCAGTCCCAGGGCCGCACACACGTGCAGGCACTGCCCGGCTCCCAGGAAGCCTGGCTCAACAATTACACAATGAAATGCAGAGACTAACCCCTCCTCCTGGACTGACGCCCAGGTCTGCCAAGGCAAGCTAGCTGTGTGTCTTGGAAAAGTCAGGTCATATCTCTGTGTGCTTCGGCTCTCTCATCAGCGGGAGGCAAGATGGGAGTAATTGCCTCAGAGAGTTATGGGCAGGATTGAATGAGCGTCTTACCTGTCAACAGGCGACATGTGCTGAGGAATCCCGAGTGGAGGGCCACTGATCCACTTGGAGCCTGCCTTCTTCAGACCCTGGTTTGTCTTGAGTAGTTTGTCTTGAGAGATGGGTGTGGCCTCTCTAGAAGACCTGCCTGAGCCCCCTCAGACCATACTTCATGCTAAAGAGAAGTTCATGTCCGGCCTGCCAGGCCACCTCCTCCAAGAAGACCTCAAGCCTGACCTCAATTCCTATGCTTGCTCACAGGCTGGTTTCTCCTGAGGATAATGGCCAAGAAAAGCACTAGGTTCTCAGGATTCTACCAGTCACCACCTCATTTGGAACAAGAGACTAAAAATCCCTCAGCGCCCCAGTTTCCTCATTGAGGCAAGCACATCCCTCAGGCAGCACTTAGGACAGAATTGGACTCCGTTAGATATTCAATAAGTACTGCCATCATTAGCTTATGAAATATCTTTGCTGGGCTGGGCGAATGGTTCAGTCTGTAAAATGCCGGCCGTACAACATGAGGACCTCACTGTGGTCCCACAGCATCCATGTAAGAAGAAGTAGGGCATGATAGCCTGTCATCTCAATGCTGGGGACACTGAAGCAGCAGATCCCCAGGGCTTGCTAACGAGGCAGACAGTCTGTGAGGACAAC